AACTCACTCTGTAGACCAGGCTGGCCTCGAACTCAGAAATCCGCCTGTCTCTGCCTCCCAAGTGCTGGGATTAAAGGCGTGCGCCACCACCGCCCGGCCCGGCTTCTTTTCTTTTCTTTTCTTTTCTTTCCTTTTCTTTTCTTTTCTTTTCTTTTCTCTTCTTTTCTTTCTTTCTTTCTTTCTTTTTTTTAAAAAGAACGTAAACAATGAGCAATAGGGACATGATATTTAACATCTTCTGTCATCGAGGTAATACAAATCAAGAGTATACCAAGATGCCATTTCGTGGTCTATAAAGCCAGCATAAGGTGTGACAAGGATGTAGATAACTGATGTCTCATCTGCTGCTGATACGTGTGGGGAATCCCCTTGGACAGCAGCCTGGAAAGTCCCCCAAAAGATAAAATATTATGATAGGAGGACACAGTTCCACATTGAGAAATGCCATGCTAGGTATAAAAAGGCACTCACCACAGATCATGCATTGTGTGATTCTGTTTACATAAAATGTCCAGAACAGGCAAGTCCATAGATACTGGTGGTTGGGTGGAAAGGGGAGGTGACTGCTAATGGGGAAAAGGGTCTTGTGTGTGCTGAAAATGTTCTAACACTGATGAGGTAGGGACTACACGAACGAGCTATATGCTTTCAGCAAGTCAGTTTTTGATGTATAGATTGTGTATCTCTATACGCCTACTTTCTTTAAAAAAAAATTGCTGGTACACAGCTATGTCTTTAAATAATTCTAGAAGTGGGTGACCCAGACTCTGTAGTCAAGAGCATCATCCAAACGCATCATCATGAGGGACAACTTGGGGCAGGAAAACAGGTGTTCCTTCACACAAGTCCCCAATAATCCTCAATGTCTTGCCAGCGTTTCTCTCTGGTTATTGTTTCCCATAGTGGATCATGACGATATTTTAATCTGAAAAATGGTAGTTTGTAGACAGTTTTATGGATTCACCTGAAGGAAAAAACTAATGTGTCTATATGTAGTCAGTCCAGAACAGGGTAGATTAAAGTTACTTACAATCACTATGGTATAAAGGGTTGTCTAATGCTTAATTAGCAAGTACTGAATGCCTTTGAGTCTCTGGTCACTTGTCAGGGGATCAACACACAAGTACATATTAGGGTTTTTTTTTGTTGTTCAGATGCCTTATATTATTAACACAAAACACTTTCTAGTAAATGCATTTCACTGGCAACATTTAGATGTAAGTAAGACACTTTTCTGTACTGAAGCTGTTCTTTTTTCATAGACATGAGGTATGAGAAACAGTATAGAAAGCACGACACATTGTGCAGTTCTCTCAGTGAACACAGTGGAGTGCACAAATGAACTCCAAAAAAAAAAACATCAAAAGAATAAGCACTTAAAACTCTATGTATAAAAACATTAAAAGCTCGCTGTTTGCTGGCTCAACAATTAAGAGCACTGGCTGGTCTTGAGTTCAATTCCCACCAACCACATGGCAGCTCACAACCACCATGGGATCCAGAGCTGCCCTCTTCTGGTATGTCTGAAGACAGCTACAGTGTACTAATATACATAAATAAATAAATCTTTTTTTTTTTTTTTTTTTTTTTTTTTGGTTTTTCGAGACAGGGTTTCTCTGTGTAGCCCTGGCTGTCCTGGAATTCACTCTGTAGACCAGGCTAGCCTCGAACTCTCGAACTCAGAAATCCGCCTGCCTCTGCCTCCCAAGTGCTGGGATTAAAGGCGTGCGCCACCACCGCCCGGCAAATAAATAAATCTTAAAGAAAAAAAAAGTAAGTAAAACAAGAACCAAAAGTTAAAACAAAACAAAACAAAACAAAAAACTTGCTGTTTGGTGCTACTGTAGGGATGTAGTGGGTTAGCTAGCCCAGTGTGGCTAACCTGCTCAACTTTGACTTGCTTCCTGAAAACTAAGGGACATATAGGTGGGGCTTATTCTGCAGGAGAGGAAGAGCGGGACAGGTCAGCGGGTCTTACTGCTTGATCATGTGATGATCTGAGCAGTTGCCACTCCCTTCCAGTCCGGCCTGAAAATTTGCATCCTAGTTTTCTGCTTTGCTTCCTGCCTTATTCCTTTATTTTTTCTTTTCTTTTGTTTTTATTTAATTCTCTTTTAAAAATTGAGTATCACAGCCGGGCAGTGGTGGCACAAACCCAAGCCTTTAATTCTAGCACTCAGGGGGTAGATGCAGGCAGATCTTTGAGTTCAAGGCCAGCCTGGTCTACATAGTGAGTTTCAGGACAGTGAGGGCTACACAGAGACCTTGTCTCGAAAGTTTAAAAAAAAAAAAGTATCACTATGTAGTATTGACTGACCTGGAACACTTTATGGAGATCAGGCTGGCCTTGAACTCACAGAAATCTACCTGTCTCTGCCTCCTGAGTGCTAAAATCATGTGCCACCTCACAGGGCTTTCTGTCTCATTCTGTTAAGCATCTCAGTGTAAGGATCAAAAGCAGAGAAGGTGACGTGCTTAAATTTGAGGGCACAACCAAGCTTTGGGTCACATTCTTTCATATCACCCTCCACATCACCCTTTAGACGGTATTCCACGTTGAGATTTTGGCATCTCTTAGGCTGATTCCCACTGTCGTCCTGAAAGCCAGCTCCCACCATGTTTTACCCACTCATCCAGAGAGCATTGGTAACCTACCAATTTCTCTGCTAAGATTTCCTCCACATCTTCCTCCTTCATGTGCTCCAAGACTTCGATTATTCTCAGTATAGTATGTATTACATCTTCATCACATCATATATATATTCCCCCTGAGGTAACTTTAAAAACTTCTAGTTTCTAGTAGTCTGGCCAAACGTTTTTCCAGTAGGTATTGATAGAGCTGGTTTGATAGCATCCAAAGTTATGCCAATGTAACCAATGACTTTGTTTTTTTAGTGAGTTTCAGTAATTCATCGTGGTGGTTTTCTTGTTGGTCTTAAACCTTTCTAAATGAGCTGGGCATAGTGTAGCATGTCTTTAATCCCAGCACTCGGGAGGCAAAGACAGACAGGCTCATCTGTCTGTGAGTTTGAGGCAAATTTGGTCTACAGAGAGAGTTCTAGGACAGCCAGGACTACGCAAAGAAATCTTGTCTTGATGAAACAAGAAACAAACAAATCCTTCTCAAGCTAAATGTAAAGCTTCCTTGTATCATACATCTTGAAAGTGGTAATTATACCCTGATCAAGGTGCTGGTTGACAAAGGTAGTGCTTGAGGCATAAAAACGAAAAATTCTTTGGCTTTCAGTTTCACCATATGATTTTCTGACAGGCTACCTCATGAATCCACAAAGTTTTCAAAATTTTGTTTATTTTTATTTTATATGTAAGCGCCTGCATGTGTGTATGTAAGTGTACCACGAACATGCCTGGTACGCACTGAGGTCAGAACCAGACTCCAGGGCAGTAGTGAACCACCATGTTGGGGATGCTAGAAACTGAATCTAGTTTTGCTGCAAAAGCAACAAGTACTATTAACCGTTAGACCATCTCTCCAATCCTTACGAACTTACAAATTTAACTGCTTTTCCAAAACCCATCTTTCCTGTTGTTTCATCATGCACTATGGGTGTCAATTTAGCACTTTGTGCAGTGGCTTCCCTCACAAGCGGATTTCCTTTTCTCTTTTAGGTATGATAACCGAATTGTTGATTCATTAACGTTGAACTTACTGCCAACAGTACTTGTAACTCAGGCCTGAATGTAACCTACTTAACAGGAAGATTTTCTCAGGAAGGCATGTCACAGCTTTCCTGCGCTTAGAGTATTAGACAGCGTTTCCGTAGAATTTTTGGGAGCCATTTTAGACAGCAAAATCACCCAGAAAAAAAAAAAAAATGCAGGGGAAAAGGCACTAAACTGCATACATTAAAGGACTCTAGCGAGTTGAATCAAGAAGGCGGAGCCTCAGTCTTGCTCAAAAGTTGCCGGAAACTTTAGCATCTCTTCGACTCTCAGTTTTTACTCGCTGCGCATGTCCGGGAGTGACATTTTAATTACTGATTTTAGAGTTACAAAAAAAAAATTAGCGAGTAAGCAAATTTGAAAATAAAGAGAGAAAGAACTATTCCCGCAGATAAGCCATTCTCCATCAAGGATGCAAGATAGCGTTGAAAACTACAAGCCCCAGCATGCATCGCTTCCGGGAGGGGCCGGAATCCCACAAGGGCCCGGAGAGTATAGACTGACCAACCGCACCAGCCGGAAGTGTCGTCTGTGACCACGTGGCACTGTCTGCGCATGTGCGCTCGCCTCTAGGGCGGCCCTAGCTGCTGGTCTTGTACCTCTATGGTCTCGCCCTAGAGCTTCGCTATTTTGGGGCAGTGGCCGCAGTCGTGTGAGTAGCAGGCCCCAAGTGACAGCAGCATGGAGGAATTCGACTCCGAAGACTTCTCCACGTCGGACGAGGATGAGGACTACGTGCCGTCGGGTGAGCGATTCGGCCTGAGGCGAAAGGAGGGTGGTTCCCACGCTTCACGCCTCACTCAAGACTCTCGAGGTCCCCAGGGCGTGGGCCTCGTGGTCGCGAGGCCACCGCGGCGCGTGGGCCCCGGAGTTCCGGTCCTCAGGACCCTGGCCCCCGGCCGGCCTGGAACACGCGTGTGTCGGTTCTGCACAGCTGTTCTCCTGGGCCGCCGCCCCCTCGGAGCGCGGGAACAGGAGCGTGATGCTGGCAGGCTGAGCTTACTGTCTATCGCTCTGAAGCCTTCTGGAAGCCGACCCGGACAGTGGAGGTTGTTTTAAGGGAATTGCCAGCTTTCTCTATGTCCAAGACTGAGTTATCCGCCTCTGGTTCAGAAGGGATCGGCTTTTTAGAAAGTTCACGTGATAATGTATTTTGTCACTTTGCAGTAGCTACCCGTTGCCCTCTTTTAAGAACTTTTAAAAAAAATTTTTACTTTTAGAGATTCATTTTATGTCATGGATATCCGTATTTTTCTTGAATGTATGTCTCTGTGAATCACGTGCATGTCTAGGGCTTTTGGGACGAGATACAGGTGGTTGTAGAGCCGAGCCATCTCGCCAGCCCCTTATTATTTTTGTGTGTGTGTGGCAGTGTATTCAGGTGGCCAGAGAGGACGGGGGGGGGGGGTATTGGATCCCCAGGTGAAGGAGTTAACCAGTTGTGTGCTGCCCAACTCTGGAACCAAAGTCAGATCCTTTGGACGTGAAGCACACACTCTTAATGGCTTAGCTTTCTTCTTTTCTTGGGGTGGGGTAGAGGAACACACTAAGAACCCATCTTATGCGAGGTCCAGACAAATCTTTAAAAAAATATTTAATCTTTTTATTTATGTGTATGGGTGTTTTGCCTACATGCATATCTATCTGTACAATACATGTATAGTATATCTGGTGTTTTCAGAGCCTAGAAGAGGGCAAAGGATCTCCTGGAAGTCGAATTATAGACAGTTGTGGACCCTTGAATGGGGGCTAGGAATTGAAAGTGGGCCCTTTGAAAAAGCAGCCCGTGTTCTTAACCTCTGAGCCAGCTCTGCAGTCTTCTTAATACCAAAACAAACCCCCTCATCTTGTACCTTGCCCTGGCTTAAGCACTCCCTTAAAGTTATTTATTCCAGAGTAGTTGCTTAGGTGAAAAGCAACTCTAGGCGTTGTGGATGAGAAAGCTAGCTTAAGATCTTGATTTCAGATGCCCAGCACCCGCATAAAAGCTGGAGGTATCTCGTGGGTGTCTCTAACTGTGGTGTTTTGTGTGTTGCCAGGCACAATCCTGGGATCTCACTGGTTTAGTGAGCTTCTGTTCAGTGAGAAACACTGTCTCAAAAAATAAGGTATGGAAAGTTATCTCATCCAGGTAGCCTAAGACCATCAGAAGATATGGATGTTTATATTACAATTCATAACAGTAGCAAAATTAAGTTATAAAGTAACAGCAAAAATAATTTTATGGCTGGGAATCACCACAACATGAGGGTATGTATCAAAGGGTCTCAGCATTAGGAAGACTGAGACCCTAGAGCATGAGGCCCACATCTTCCTTAAGCCACACACACACACACACCATTCTTTGTTATTGTTTTTTTTTTGTTTTTTTCGAGACAGGGTTTCTCTGTGTAGCCCTGGCTGTCCTGGAATTCACTCTGTAGACCAGGCTGGCCTCAAACTCAGAAATTCGCCTGTCTCTGCCTCCCAAGTGCTGGGATTAAAGGCGTGCGCCACCACTGCCCAGCAACACACCCCATCCTTATTAATCCATCCAATCAAAAAGTTATGTGGTGCCAGGTATGGTAGTATAAGCCCATAACCCCGAAACTTGTTGGGTTTTGAGGCTGGAGGATTGCTGTAAGTTTGAAAATAGCTTGCTCACCATTGTGAATTCCAGGCCCACCAAGATAATGTAGTAAGACCCTGTCCTGGGAGAGGAAGTGAGTCTGGGGAGACGGCTTCAGTTGGTAAAATGTTTGCCTTGCAAGTGTGAAGACCTGAATTCAATTTACAGGATCCGGTGGTAAAAATGCCAGCTGTAAATGTAAATGCTCGACACTTACATGATGCTGCCAGTGCTGGGAAGAGACAGAAGGAAGAGACAGGAGGATGCCAGTCTAGCCTAAGTGAGCCCATTGTGAGCTCCAGCTCCCAATGAGAGTCCTTTCTCAAAAGAGGTGGACAGCTTTCTTAGGAATGACACTCTAGGTTGGCCTCTGGCACCACAGAAAGGCATGCACTTGAGTGCCACAGGATGTGGGGTGTTCAGTAAGAACTTTTTTTTTTTTAGATTAATTTATTTATTTTATATGAGTACACTGTCACTGTCTTTAGACACACCAGAAGAGGGCATCAGATCCCATTACAGATGGTTGTGAGCCACCATGTGGTTGCTGGGAATTGAACTCAGGACCTCTGGAAGAGCAGTCGATGCTCTTAACCACTGAGCTATCTCTCCAGCCCCAGTAAGAACCTTTTTTACTTTTTAAATTTCATGTATATGTCTGCGTATGTATGTGCATGTGCATGTGTTTTCCTGAGGAAGCCAGAAGAGAATGTCAGATCCTCTGGACTTAGGAGTTAACAGGTGGCTATCATGGGTGCTAGAAATGGAACTCCAGTCTTTTCTGTAAGAGCAGCAAGGGCTCTTAACTGCTAAACCATCTCTCTTGAGTATCCTTCTGCCAAGTTTTAAAAATTATTTATTAAATTGAAAAAATTTTTAAATTGCATTTTATGTACTGGAGTGTTTTGCCTGCGTGTATGCTTGTTGAACGTCATGTCAAATATTTCAAGTCCATTTAAGGAAACTTCTTTCTTCTTTGCTAGTTTCTTTTGACTTTATTCATATGTAATGAGTCTCTTTTTAGCATTCAGGGCTCATTCTCCTGTTTTACCATCCATTCTTCAACCTTTAGGCCCTCTCCGGTTCTCCCACCTGCCACTGTACCTGTTTTGATTAGATAAGTAGTCCGTGTTTATCTTTTTGCTGATTGTATGGATACCCTGTTCATAGCTGAGCCACATGATTGCTTTAACTGGACTACTTTTCTCTGCTATTAATGAATGTTTTGTTTTACAAGTTGTGTGTGTGCATGTGTGTGTCTCCATGTCCAAGTGGTGCATGCCAGAGTGTACATGTATGAGTTAGAGGATAACATGGAGGAATTGGTTCTCTCCTACCATGTGGCTTCCAGAGAGGAGAGCGCCAGTTGTCAGGCTTGGTGGCAGTGTGCATATCCACTGTGCCATCTTGCTATTCCCCTGTTTTAATTTAGCTGCCCATGCGCTTACCATTAATTCGACTCTAGGCTTTCAAAATTGCCAAAATCATCTTCTAGCATTATTAGATTCCTTGGGTTTTTATCTCCATCTCTTGGAAGTTGCTCTCTGCCTTGGCCTTGCTTTATTTTGGTGTGGTTTTTCTCTGCCTTTCGGAATCTGAAACCTTGGGTCTTTCAGCATTATTAGTACTCTTTCAGGCCTTCTTTATTCCTTCTCTGAATTCCCATGCTCTCTCTCTCTCTCTCTCTGTCTTTGTCTCTGTCTTTCTTTGTCTGCTGGCCAGTCTGTCTTTCTCTTTGTCTTTATCTGTCTTTCTGTCAACAAGGTGTCATGTATGCAAGTCTAGCCTTGAAGTCCATATGTAACTGGTGTAACTTTTAAGTTCCTGATCCTCTTTCCTTCACCTATGCAATGATTCTAGGTGTGTGCCACCGTGCCAGCCTCAGATTTCCTTGTGTTCACTGTACATGGTCTTGTTTTTTGCTGTGTTCCACCAAATTGAGAGGAGGATATGTAATGGCTTCCTGAGGAAGGATGTATGGCAGAAACATTATTCTGAGACCTGGAATGTCTGAATGTTACCTCAGGCCTGTTTGATGGTTGGTTGATAACAGAATTCTAGGTTGGAAGCAGTTTTCCATCAGAATTGTGACAGTGTTGCTTCACTTACTTGATGCTGGTGTTGCCATTAAGTCTGTCTTGTGGGCTGGAGATGCAGCTCAGAGATAGAGGGCTTGTCTGGCATGTGCAGCATCTTGGGTTTGATCCCCAGTGGATCTGTTTGTCTCAGAAGAGATCTTCTTCCCTTTGCTCCCATTTTCCTGATGCTAGAGCTCGCCATCGTCACCGTCATCAGACACTGTGGCATGACTTTGCAGTCAGTGAGCCTGCTTCTCCCCAGACTTTTTTCTGTTTTGTTTCTCTGGAATCTTAGGTTATTATGTTGAGCCTGTTAGACCTCCTGCACTGTCGTGGTTACTGTCCCCTTCTCCCGGCACTTTGCCTCCATCAAGACAGGTTCTCTTTGTGGCTCACGTGGCCCCAGTTGCTCCATAGATGCTTGTGTGGATTTTGTTGGGCAGTGTGCTGAATCTGTAGGTCAGTTTGGGGAGAATTGATAACTTAGCAATCTTCTCGACCAGTCTGTGACCGCAGCGTCATGTCTACGTAGGTCTTTTATTTCCATTTGCTTCTCGGTTGCTAGTACCTGAGAACACAGTCCTTCGGCATGCTAAAGTATCGCAGTCTTCACACTTGTTACTACTCACGCGTCAGTTCAGGGCGGGTCTGTAGATCCCGCAGGATTCTCCAGGTAGATAATCATGTCACGGCTGAAGTTTCTGTGATACTCTTATGTTTCTTTTGCTTGACATGATGTACTAGATACTTCTGTGATGTTGTTGAGTAGGAATGATGAGAGGGAGAGAACATTCTTCTCTAGCTTTCTGCTCTCAGTCATAAGGAAGCTCAGAGAAGGACCTCAGTGATTTACGAGTTAGTAAGAGATTAGCTAGTTCCCGTTCACAGATGCCCTTCGTGTGCACGTGCCTTTTAAACACTTCAGTGATAACTTACTACTAACTCACACAGTGCTTCAAGATGTATGCTTTTGTACTGTCCATTTTACAGATGAAAAGGCTGAGGATCAGAAAGCATAGTCGAGGGCCACCAGTCTGGGTTGTAGCTTAGTGCTGGGTGTGGTGGAACATGCCTCTGATCCCAGCATTTGGGAGGTAGAAGCAGACAGACAGACAGGCTCAGAGATGAGTTTGAGGCTAGCCTCGTTTACATAGTGAGTTCCAGACTAGCTGAGGGTGCTTAGTGAGACCGTGTTCGAAGAAAGGAAGAAGAAAGAGGTAGTTGAGCTAGCTGAGCAGGTGTTACTTAGCCATCTCCCTGTAGTGTTCCTCACAGGTACCTTGCAAAGACTGAAGTGAACAGCAGCTGGAGAAGGCCAAGCAGCATGTGCCCCACGCTCCTTTCATGCTTTCTCTCCTGCTCCATGTACAGCCTGTGAGCCTGTGGACTGACAGCTTTATGTCAGCCACAGCCATAGCAATGGGTACCACAGCAACAAGATGAGAAAGAACATTTGTCATAGATGACTGCAGAGGAGAGGTGCGAAGGGTATAATGGGCCATGCTCCTCTGAACCCTGTTCCGTTGTGGAAGGACGAGATGAGGGATGAGAGCTAACCTGAGGACAGTAGAAGTGGGAATGATGGCATGGGAGAGAGAGCCTGAGGATCCTTGCCTGCATCACATCATCGAACAAAACTCTTACATCCAGGTTTTAGATAACAAGACCCATAGACAACATATTGAGAAGATTCTGTAGTAAAGAAGAGGGGGCAGTGTTACTTGGCTCCCAGGTTTGATAACACACTTCTGTAATCTTAGCATTTGGGAGATGGAGGTAGGAAGATCAGAAGTTCAACGCCAGTCTCACCTGCATTGTGAGTTTGAGGCCAGCCTGGGGTACATAACTATCTCAAAAACAAGACCAAACCCAAACAGAAATACTCTTGGAAAGAAGGCAAACAGAAAGAAAATGTACAGCTAGAAGAAGCATGGATTTTATTGTTACGGGATTTTTTGTTCTGCCGTGTGTAGTTCTCATCTCTTCATTTGTTCTCTATGAACAATTTCATTCACAACGAAGTTGTGAATGTTTTGTTGCTGGCTGGTTTATGTCAGCTTGACACAAGCTAGAGTCATTTAGGAAATGGGAACCTCAGTTAGAAAATGCCCTCAGCAGATCGGTCTGTTGGCAAGCCTGTGCACTTTGATTGGTAGGTGATGTGGGTGGTGCTACTCCTGAACTGGAGATCCTGGGTGCTGTAAGGATGCAGGCTGAGCAAGCTGTGGGAGCAGGGCACTCAAAAGCATTTTTTTCATGGCCTCTGCATCGGTTCTTGAACCTAGGTCCCTGCCCGGACTTCCTTCATGGTGGACTGTAAGTTGTAAGATGAAATAAGCCCTTTACTCTCCAAGGTGCTTTCAGTCATGGTGTTTTACTTATCTCAGCAATAAGAAACCCTAGTTAAGGCCAGGTGGTGGTGGCGTACGCCTTTAATCCCAGCACTTGGGAGGCAGAGGCAGGCGGATTTCTGAGTTTGAGGCCAGCCTGGTCTACAGAGTGAGTTCCAGGACAGCCAGGGCTACACAAAGAAACTCTGTCTCGAAAAACCAAAACCAAAAAAAAAAAAAAGAAACCCTAGTTAAGACAGCTTCCAAGATGAATCAAATATATGTCTGTCAAAACCGAAGAAGTCTACTCTTGAGTCTGGAGAGATGGCTCAGAGTTTAGCAATGTGAGATGCTCTTGTGGGGGACCTAAGTTTGGTTCTCAACATCCACATGGCATAGCTAGCAATCACCTGTACCTCCAGCTCTGTATTCTACAAGTATCTGCACCCACATGTGCACATAGCCCTACTCACATCATAAACACATAAAACATTTTAAAACGTCTTTTTAAGAAGTAGCATATGTATGATTCTACATCTAGAGCTTTGCAATGTGCCCAAATGCCAGCAATGTTGACTTCTGTCAATACATAGTAAGTTTGAAGAATGAATATGATTCCTATTCATATTGTTACTTTTCTGATTTACTATCTGACAGCTTGATATAACTGACATTTTACTTCTCTTTTTTAGAGTGTGTGTATGTGTGTGTTTCTGTGTATCTTTGTTTCTCTGTCTGAGTTTGGGTGTATTCACTGGAGTATAGGTACCCACATGGGCCAGAAGAGTTGAATCCCTCTGGATCTGAAGTTACAAGTGGTTCAGGTGGTTGTGAGCCTGGACAGGTCCTGGGAATTGAACTTGGGACCTCTGAAAGCACAGTCTATGCTCTTAACCCCTGAGCAGCCATCCATCTCTCCAGCCCTCTTTTATTACTTCTTGATTATGGAAGCTATTATATGTGATCTTACAAGTTTGTTTCCCTTGAGATATTTTGCTTCCTTTGAGACAGGATCTCTCTACATAGCCCTGGCTGCCCTGTAAACCAGGTTGACCTCAAACTCAGAGATCCAACTGCCTCTGCTTCCTGAGTGCTAATTAAAGGTGTGCACCACTGTGCCCAGCCCTGGGTAAGTTTTTGTTTTGTCTTTTTTAGACATGCTTTCTCTGTGTAGCTCTGGTTGTCCAGGAACCCCCTCAGTAGACCAGGCTGGCCTTTTACTCGATATGACATAGCTTTAACTAATGTTCTCGCTTCTGGTACAGCTGGGTGTTCGGTCTCCATCTTTTTTTGGTTTTACTTGCCTGAAATAAGCTAATTTTTTTCCTCCCCTCCAGGAAACCCTTTATATTGTAAATCATATTTTGAAACTACTACTTGAATTTCAGTGATGTTCACTGCTATGGTGGTGACATTGCTTCTGTATTATTCAGTAAACAAATATTTATCTTTATTTTTTGGTTTTTCGAGACAGGGTTTCTCTGTGTAGCCCTGGCTGTCCTGAAATTTACTCTGAAGACCAGGCCAGCCTCGAACTCAGAAATCCACCTGCCTCTGCCTCCCAAGGGCTAGGATTAAAGGCGTGCGCCACCACTGCCCGGCTTTGTTTTGTTTTTTTGAGACAGGGTTTCTTTGTGTAGCCATGGCTGTCCTGGAACTCATTCTGTAGACCAGGCTGGCCTCAAACTCATGGAGATCCACTTGTCTTTCCATCTGGAGTACTGGGATTAAAGCCATAGGCTACCACACTTGGCTAGAAATATTTATCTTAAAAGGGGGATAAAATTTTTGTTTTGTTTTATTGTTGCTGCTGTTTTAGGATTTTTGTTTTGTTCAAGATAGGGTCTCATGTAGCCCAGGCTGGCTTTAGTCTCACTTTGTAACCAAGCACAAGTTTGAACTTCTGATTCTCTTGCGTCTAACCTCCAAAGTGCTGAGCATCAGGTGTACGGCCATACCTGGCTCAGACTTCATTCTTAATATTTTGTGAAAAATCTTTATTCTAGTCGTCTGACCGCCCTGTTCTGTGATCTCAGGTGGAGAGTACAGTGAAGATGATGTCAATGAATTAGTGAGGGAGGATGAAGTGGACGGCGATGAGCAGGCTGAGAAAACCAAAGGGAAAAGAAGGAAGACTCCGAGCATTCCAGCCAGGTGACACTGCCTGACAGTGCTTTCGTGATGTCTGTCTGTCTTTTTGTTTGTATGTTTTGTTGTTGTTTGAGACAGGGTTTCTCTGTGTAGCTCTGGCTGTCCTGGTACTTGCTCTGTAGACCAGGCTGTCCTTGAACTCACAGAGATGCACCTTCCTCTGCCTCCTGAGTGCTGGGATTAAAGGCCTGTGCCCAGTTTGTCTGTCTGTCCGTCTGTTCGTCCTTCCTTCCTTCCTTCCTTCCTTCCTTCCTTCCTTCCTTCCTTCCTCCCTTCTTTCCTTCCTTCTTTCTTTACTTCCTAACATTGTCTCTGTGTGGGTGCTATAGCACAGGCTGGTCTAGAATTCATTGTGTAGCCTAGGCTAGCCTCTAGCTTCAGCCTCCAGAATTGTAGGGATTGTGGGCATGAACCATTGCTCCTAGCTTTATTGCCAGGGTTCTTAACCCCTTCCTGTATGAGGGAAATATTTGTTGATCTTCTAAAATTAAAATCTTGGCGTTCAACCAATTTAAAAAAGTTTTAGGCCTTAATTTAAAAATCACTAAGTAAAATGTGTATGTGGTAAAAGCAGTCTTGTTGCCATAGGATACACCCTCTGGTCTCACCCTGAAAAGCTGTCACCTTAGATGCTATCATACTCAGTGTGGGTACATGCTTCCTGCTCTCTTTGTTTAAAATAAAAATGGTAGCACACTGTACATCATGCTGAGGCTCACTCTTGGACTATGTTGCCCAGACTGGGCTACTCCTAAGCCTCTTGTCTGTCTTCTGAGCAGTGATGTGGTTCCAGGGAGGCCTCACTGTGGTGATTCTCACTTAGCTCATTGCTTTAACGGCAGCCTGGCAGTCAGTCCATGCACACCTGGTCTTTCAGGGACTGTACTGTTACACTTTATGAATAGCCTGACCTGACTTAAGCATCCCTTACTAGGAACAGTTAGATTGTATAGTCTGCTACAGCAAAAAAGCTACAGGAGACATTGCTAGAACATGTTACATACTGGTACAAAGGTTTTGTTTGGTTTTGTTTTTTTAAGATTCATTATATGAGCACATTGTAGCTGTCCTTAGACATACCAGAAGAGGGCATCGGATCCCATTACAGGTGGTTGTGAGCTACCATGTGGTTGCTGGGAGTTGAACTCAGTACTCTTAACCACTGAGCCTTCTCTCCAGCCCATAGTACAAGGATTTTTGTAAGATTTAAAGGTGTAGAATTGTTTGATCTAAGGCTATATAAATTAAATTCTTTTCAGTTGAACTTTTAAATCACCTCTTACCCCCTAACAGGCCATGTTCTGAATTACAGACCCACAACAAATTAGAAAATCATGATGGGTTAAAACTCAGATAAGGTTATCTCCTATAGGACTCTTCTGTTGCTCTTGTTTCTGTCTTGGCCATTGAAGCAGAAAGCAGATTGCAGTTTTTGAAAACAGAGAAAGTAAAGATTAAGTGCTATATTCTGTCTGTAGTTGAACTAGTAGAAATGTACTTTATAAACCCTGGGTCCAGTGCTCTTTCTGTGTTTGAATTTTCGTTTCTTTGATGGTGGCATGAAAGCACTGCACTGTTTAGAGTGTTTGGAAGAGAATGACGACAATGAACTTGAGAGTCAGTAGACGTGTTTCAAGTGGAGTGGCTTTTAGAGGTGAAAAATATTCAGCACATATGTTTGTAGAACCCTTTTTCTGAAAAGAATAATGAAGTAATATTAGGTATTTTTCTTTTTAGCTGTTGGGTTTTTTGTTGTTGTTGTTGTTGTGTTTTGTCTGTTTGTTTTTGTTCTTAGTGTGTAGCTTGTCTGTTCTGGAACTCACTATGTAGACCAAGCTGTCCTCCAACTCACAGAGATATTCAAGCCTTTGCTTTCCTGGATACTGGGATTAAAGGTGTGCACCACCATGCCTGCCTCAGGTGTTTTCTTAGTAAAAATAACAGTCTAGATATAGATACTAAATTTAAGTTTCAAGTGAACGCAAACCACCCCCATTTTTATTTAATATGGGAGCAGGTAATAAAAAGACAATGCTTGCTAAAGAGTTCACACATACAGTGTATATGCTGTATGTCATGTAGGTCCTCCAGTTGCTCTCAGGGTGCAATACACTTGCAATGCAAAGCAGCTTCTTAACGGGGAGTGTCTATATGTAAGTCCACGAGGGGCTGTTATCTACTGGGAGAACTGAATTTTAAATTTTGATTTAATATTCCTGCAGGATATAGTTGAACTTTATAAATACTACTAGATTCAATGTGCTTTATTATTTTAAATAAGGATTTCAGCTATTCAAATTGTAGACTGAAGATAATTAGAAGTATGTTTAAAATACAATATTTAACAATCTGAGAATGTCTAGGATATTGATTTATTGTTCCTGAGTCTCAAAGAGTAACGTGCCAAGAATTTGAAAACACTGAGAAACTTGTGGGTATTTTTTTCACTGTATGGTATACTTCTAAATTGTGCCATTGTTGCTGAATAAACATACTTAAAAACAAATTTAGTCAGGGCTGCTGAGACGGCTCAGTAGTTAAGAACAGTTCCTGCTCTAGCAGAGGACCTGGGTTCAGCTCTCAGCATCCCAAAGGTGGCAATGGTGGCTTGCACGTGCCAGTGACCTCAGTTCCAGGGGATTCGACACCGTCTTTTGACTTCCACAAGCTTATGTGCATATAGTGTACTTACATATACTCAGGAACACACACACACACGCATAAAGAAATGAATAAATATTTCTAAAAAATTAAATCTCGCTTACCTTCTCCATTTCTCTTACTGTGTTATTAGTAATCCCAGAGTTCATCTTTGAGGTGTGTGAGATGATCATGGTTTGAGGAGAGGGAGTGAATGACTTTGCATTCTGTCTTGTCTTCCTTTTTCTGGGTGGCTGTTGGTGAGTAGGAAGAGGAAACAAAGTGGCCTCTTGTTAGACGAAGAGGAAGATGGCAAGGAAGACTCCGGAGGTAGCAGTAGTGAAGAGGGTGAAGAGGAGCAGGAAGGAGGCCCTGGGTCAGAGAATGCGAGGAAGAAGAAGGAGGATGAACTGTGGGCCAGCTTCCTTAATGATGTGGGACCAAAGTCAAAAACAGGCCCAAGTTCACAAGCTAAGGTAAGCTTAGATTGATGGAGCAAACTCCTCTCCAGAAACACCTTCGTTCCCCAGGAGCTTCCTATTGTTTTAATTTGCAAACTGACTTGAGATTTGAATCTCAAATCAAAAAGCAAACTAGATGTCTTCTGATAGTGACTTCACTAAGGGAAAAGCAAAGCATTTCTTTTTTCTTTTCTTTTCTTTCTTTCTTTCTTTCTTTCTTTTTTTTTTTTTTTTTTTGAGGCAGGGTTTCTCTATGTATAGCCCTGGCTGTCCTGGAACTCACTCTGTAGACCAGGCTGGCCTCAAACTCAGAAATCCACCTGCCTCTGCCTCCCAAGTGCTGGGATTAAAGGCGTGCGCCACCACCGCCCGGCACAAAGCATTTCTTAACAGTAGAAAAAATGAGCTGTTTTAATCAGGTAAATTTCCAGCAGACCTTTATAAACTTTTAAAAAATGTATTTGTTGGACTGGAGAGATGGGTCAGTGGTTAAGAGCACTTACTGCTCTTTCAGAGGTTCTGAATTTAATTTTTAGCACCCAAGTCAGGTAATTCACAAAAGCCTGTAACTCTATCTCCAGGGGATCTGATGCCTTCTCTGGCTTCCGAAGGCACCTGTATACATGTGGCTTAACCACACATATACATCTAAATAAAAATAAGTAAAAATTTTAAAAGATTCACTTGTTATTATTTTAATTATGAGTATATGTTTGTGCCTATGTGTGGGTCTGTGCATGTCAGTCCCAGGAGCTCGAGGTACAGGCAGTTACGAGCTCCAGAGGTGCGAAAAACTGAGCTAAGGTTCTCACCGAAAGCTCTTAACTGCTAAGCCGTCTACCCCTCCAGCCTCTCCACTATACCTGTACTATTTTATGTTATTTTTTTATGTGTATAGATGATTTACTTGCTTGTATGCCTATGCACCACATGCATGTAGTACCCATGATGGCCAGAAGAGGGCATCCGAGTATTTGGAACTGGAGTTATAGGTGGCTATGAGGCGCCTTATAGGTCCTGGAAATCTAACCTGTGTCCTGGAGGAACAGTCAGTGCTCTTAATCATAAGTCATCTCTTCAGGCTTTCTAATAGTGTTTAACTGATCAGAGATGAAACGTGAGGGAACAACCCTAAGCAGCATGTTCAGACAGTTCTTTTAGTCTTATACTCTGGTGAAAGTGATTATCTATCTATCTATCTATCTATCTATCTATCTATCTATCTATCTATCTATCTATCTTTTTTTTTTTTTTTTCAGGTAGGGTTTCACTGTATAGCCCTGGCCAGCCTGGAACTCTGTGTAGACCACACTGGCTTCTAGCTCAGAGATCCTTGAGTCTTTGCCTCCTAGATGCTGGCCTTGAAGGTGTGTGCCACACAAGCCTGATTCACTTCTTGCTCTTTTTGTAGGAAGCAGAGGAGACTGAAGAGACCAGCTCAAGTAAACCGCTGGCCAAAGCGGATGAGCTAGAGAAACCTAAAGAATCAGAAAAGGTGAAGATTACCAAGGTGTTTGACTTTGCTGGCGAAGAAGTAAGGTGAGAGGATTTCGGGGTTGGAAACTGTGGTTTTTCCAGGCGGTGCTTCACGTTCTGCTTCACGTCTGTCCTTATCCCCACCCGGCGTAACTGTTTTGGCTGCGTACGTGCATTTGGAAGTTTGTATTTCCATTGCTCATTGCCATGCTTTGTGCTTCGAGTAAATAAATCCTTTATCTCCTTCCGGTGCTGTGCGATAGCCCTGGTGAGATCACTAAGTCAGGCGAGGATTGAGAGTGCTAGGAGGAAGAGTCAGTTTCAGCGTTATTGTGTATTGTCTGAGCTGGTTTATGAGTTTATTTGTCTTAGTTTATAAAAGCAGCTTATTTTAGAGGCTTTTGAGTGGTTCAGCCTCCTGGATGCTTTGTTTAGAGGCAAGATCTCACTATGTAGCCCTGGCTATCCTAGAACTCACTATGTAGACCAGGCTGCCCTCAAATTAACAGGGATCCACTTGCCTCTGCCTCCTCAGTGTTGGGATTAAAGGCATGTGCCACTAAGACCAACTTACTGGTATTTTGTTTGATTGATTTTTGGGGGGAGTTATTGTGGCAGTTTTTTTTTTTTTTTAAATAGTGAGTACACTGTAGTTGTCTTCAGACACACCAGAAGAGGGCATCGGACCCCATTACAGATGGTTGTGAGCCACCATGTGGTTGCTGGGAATTGAACTCAGGACCTCTGGAAGAGCAGTCAGTAATCACTGAGCCATCTCTCCAGCCTCTATTGTGGCAGTTTTAAGGACGACCCTCATGCCTGGAGTTTATTTAAAGTTATAATATAAAAGCTATAGTTCTGTAATTTAGAAGCGATGAGAACAGAATTTAAGTAATAGTTTTGTAATACTAGTTTTGTAAGTTTATTTTCTTTAACAGTAACAGATGAGACTCGGATGTGGTCTGATAATACAGTTTTCTCTGTGTTCATTGCTTTCAAAAACAACACCTGGAGTTGTATTCTTCCCTCTGTGTGTGAGGTGTAGATTGTAGAACCCTTTGGTGATGTCAGAGTCCTCAGATTCTTACATCCCATATATAAAATGGCATGGTGTCAGTGTATAACTTATGCACAACTTCTTTTATACATTAAATATCTGATTTTTTTTTTTTTTTTTTTTTTTTTTTTTGTTTTTTGTTTAAGGGTTTTTTTGTGTTGTTCTGGCTGTCCTGGAACTCACTCAGTAGACCAGGCTGGCCTCGAACTCAGAAATCCGCCTGCCTCTGCCTCCCAAGTGCTGGGATTAAAGGTGTCCGCCACCACCGCCCTGCCAAATATCTGATTTCTAATACTTGATAATGTAAATCCACAAAAGTAGCACCGTATGTAGGGACTAGTAAGAAGAACGATAATGTGTGTGTGTTCTGTACAGATGTAGTCTCCTCCTAAATGTTTTCTGCCTGTATTGGTTAATCCATAGACTATAACTCACTAATATACAGAGTTGCCTGTTTTTTTCCAGGGAAAATATGTTTTGAAAAATTGAAGTTTTGTATTTTTGGTTTTATAAATAATATGGAGCACAACTTTTAAAATTTGTTTAGACTGGGCCTCATTGTAGCCCAGACTGTTCTGGGAGCTTACTGTGTATCCCGAAGTGGATGAAGTTGTAATAATCCATCTGCTCAGCCTCCTGAGTACTGAAACTATGTGCATAAGCTACTGTGCCCAGCAACACCTATTTTTAATTATTTTATGTATGTGGGTCTTTTGTCTGAGTGTATGTATGTCTGTGTACCATGTACATACCTGGTACCTGAAGATGTCAGAAAAGGGTGTTAGATCCCCTGGAACTGCAGTTACAGATGGTTCTGAGCCACCATGCAGGTGCTGGGAATAGAACCCAGGGCCTCTGGATAAGCAGCCAGAGCTCTTAACCACTGAGTCATCTCTCCAATACCAAAGCCATTCATTTGAAAAACTTTTCTCAAAAACATTTTCTTTTGTGCAGTATCTTTAGGGCAGTGTTGTAAGAACATTATTACAGTTAACAGCCATGTGCTTGACACACTCTCACTCAGGTTTACTCATGTTCAGTGTTCTGTGTGTCCTCATGTGAGGGTGTGGCCACTCCTGTTACAGCGTGTGTATGAAGGCCAGAGGACAGCTTGTGATAGTTGCTTCTCTCTCCATGATGGGGTCCTGGAGAGTCAATTCAGTTTGCTAGGCTTGCCAACCTCTACCTACTGAGCCATCTTGGCAAGTCTGGATCCGAATGACTCACCTTGACAACTGGACTGATGTCTGTTCTTTTCAATGCAGTGATTATAATGGCTAAGTGTAAATAATGTGTTCAACAGATGTCCCTGTGCTCGCAGCTGCTGTGCCTCTTGTCTTAGGTCAATAAGAGGTGACTTATTTTTTAAGATTTTTTTATTTTTTTTTACCAGTAACACATAGTTTTGAAGGCCATACTTTGAGTAGATCTATGTATGATTCTGTTACAGCCTTTTAGGCCCCAGTTATTCCGTTACACAGTCAGGACCCAGTTCAAGATTAAATAGTGCGTTTGGTGTTTTAAGAGTACAGACCGTTTGTATTGGAGAACACACTTGAGTTTAGATTATTACTTGCCTTGAATGTTTAGTTTTCAGTTAACCACTTTAGACTAGTAGTTCTCAGCCTTCCTGATGCCGTGGCTTTAGGAATATAGTTCCACATGTTGGCATGACCTAACTGTAAAATTATTTTGTTGCTACTTTACAGCTATATTGCTACTGTTATGAACTGTAGCATAAATATCTGACATGCAGGATATCTGACATGCAATCCTGTGAAAGGGTTGTTTGACCGACATAGTCCCCCTCCCCCCAAGGGATTGTGACCTATAGGTTGAGAACCACTGCATTAAGCAAACCTGTTGCCCTGGCAGTACTAGATGTCCTTCAGGAACCCAACATTAGTGTTGAGTTAAAGGACATGGGCATCTATCAGAACTCCCCATTGTAAGGTACTCCTGGTAGTTAGTCACTTTGAGACCTGTCACATAATTATTGATGATGTGAATTAGTAATGGATTTTGCCTCCAAAAATCATATTGCAGGTATCCAGTATGGAATTGCAGAACATTGACAGTGAACCATCAGTGTTTAAAAACCTGGCCCGGAGGTGGTGATGCGTGCCTTTTTGTCTTTGTTTTTGTTTTGTTTTTCGAGACAGGATTTCTCTGTATAGCCCTGGCTGTCCTGGAACTCACTCTGTAGACCAGGCTGGCCTCGAACTCAGAAATCCGCCTGCCTCTGCCTCCCAAGTGCTGGGATTAAAGGCGTGCGCCACCACCGCCCTGGCAGGTGATGCGTGCCTTTAATCCTAGAGTTTGGGAGGCAGAGGCAGGCAGATCTATGTGAGTTCGAGGCCAGCATGAGATATAGAGTGAGTTTCAGAACAGCTAGGACTATGCAAAAAACCGTGTCTCAATAAACCAAAAAAAGAAAGAAAGGAAAAGGAAAGAAACAAAGCTTTTTTTGGACACAGTAGGGCATTCTGCACATGAGAAGTCGCAGCAGCTGTGACAGCATGCACAGGTCCTGCCCAGGATCATCCAGTCAAAGTCCCAGCGTGGGAAGTGGGTCAGGGTTGAACCAGCTAAGAAGCTGTGGCCACTGATGGCTGCTGAGAGAGGAGGGTCAGTTATCCTTAAGGGTGTGGCCCTGAGAGACTGACTGCCCATGCTCTAGTAGGTTCCCTACACCCAGACTTGTATTAGTGCGCTGAGTGGGCTCCGTGGACTCTTTTAGAAAGAAAAAAATAGATATACACAAGGAAGTTGGAAGTGGATATGGTAGAATGGCGGTAAGGGAGAGATGGGGAAGGAGGGAGTGGGGATAAACTCAGTCAAGACGCATTAAATGCCTGTATAAAAATGTAGAGTGTATTAACATACCACAGAAAATACAAGTTAAAAAAAAAGACATTTAGAGGCAGAGTTGAAGGCTGGCCAAGTCTATAGAGCAAGTTCCATGTAGGACAACATGGTGAGACTGTTGGAAAGCCTGTGTTAGCTTAGATCATTTCCCACATGTAGAATATCTACAGGACAGTCTTCATAAAGAGCAAAATCAGCTCAATTACTGTTGCTTTGAGAAATCCGTAAATTTCTGATGAAATTATGAATTTCATAAATTTGTTTATAAATATTATCATTTAATATGTCTCTGATTTTTTTTTTTTTTTTTGAGATAGAATCTAATGTAGCCCAGGCTGACATTGAACTGATTCTCTGGCCTGTTACTTCCTAAGTGTAGGGATTATATTCATGTGATACTACTCTTGACTTTTTTGTTTGTTTTTTGAGACAGGGTTTGTCTGTAGCCCTGGCTGTCCTAGAACTCACTCTGTAGACCAAGTTGGCTTCAAACTCAGAGGTCCACCTGCCTCTGCCTTCTGAGTGCTGGGATCAAAGGCATGCTCTCTGACTTTCCACTTTTGTAAATATTGAAGTACTCAGGGAGCCTGCATGTGTACAGTTCGTCAGAGGAGGGCAGCATCATCTGTCAAATAAAACAGAATAAGAGCACTTTCTTTTCATTAACTACAATCAACACATGCATCTTATTTATAGTTCTCAGTAAAACATGATAATTTAAAAACATATATTATTGAGAAATGTAACAGAACAAGTGAGTGTCTTCTCAAACTCCTTACCCATAAAGAATACAAAAGCGAGCAGGAGAGATGGCTCAGCGGTTAAGAGCACTGACTACTCTTCCAGAGGTCCTGAGTTCAATTACCAGCAACCGCATGGTAGCTCACAACCATCTGTAATGGGATCCAGTTTTCTTTTCTGGTGTGTCTGAAAACAGCAACAGTGTACTCATTATATAAAATAAATAAATAAATCTTAAAAACAAACAAAAAGACTAGAAAAGCTTGTTAAGGCCTGTGGTGGCGGTACACTCCTGTAATACCAGCCCTTGGGAAGAGGAAGCATGACAATCAAGGCCAACCTGGGCCATGTATGTATAATTGTTTATGTACAGATATAGTATATACAATCATTATGCATTATA